CAAAGAATAAATGTCATAACATAAATGGCTAATTACTCAACAATAAAGAGGAAAAAATAAAGGGTAGTTAATTTTCTGTTACAAAAACAGAAAATTAAAAATTGGATAACTGAATTGGATTTAATATTTTGTTATTAAACCAAATATTTAATAATATTTCTGTTAATATTTACTATTAACAAATAAATTTGGTCCAAAAATTAATCAATCGATCATTTATCCGAAGCGGAAGCGGAAAGCGAGCGACGACGACGGCGCGAGGCTTGCCTTCTTCTCAACTCTTTATGAGCTAGAAGAAGAGCAATTGCTTATATACCCATCAAAAACCTTTTCCTCTTCCCATATGGGACATCAAGGAGGGAAACTCAAATAATACTCAAATATTTCATTTTTCCCTCCATTTTCCATTCACCCTATTTTAAGCATTAATAGCTTAAAACCCCAACATAGCTAACATGAACTAAGACCAGACTATTCATTTTTGGAATTAGAACTACAGTTTAATAGTTACACTTCTGTTTCTGCACCACTTAGTCATTTAGGTGATATTCAATCCATCAAATATTTTCCTTTTTCTTTTTATCTTCCTCTTCCCCCGCTACTCATAATGTAAGCACCCTTAAAGGTTGAAAATAAAATATTAAAATTTTAAATAAAAAAGAAATAAAACCATCACACATTTGTCCTTCTCCATGTACTAATCATTTTTTATAATCTACAGGTCCGGGTCAAGCCTAAACCTCATGGAAAAAAAAAACAACTAAGACATTATTATCATCTTTAGCACTCAAAATTCCATCAAAGTACTACGCAATTTGTTAGACTCATATTATTCTTTAGTAAATGTTTTTTTTAATAAAATATTTCTGATTGTCCAATGCGAAAGGTATATGATCATGTCAACACGTATGATCTACACGTCTATAGTCACCTACCACTCTAATTGCCAATTAGGCAACCCTCAAATATCACAACACTTTAACCTACTTCATTTAATTTTACAAGAATTAATTGGCCAATATCAAAGGCTAATACTATAAATAATAGGGTCCTTGTAGGGGGGAAAGGGGTCTCAAGAGAGGATGTGCCAACGAAAACTTTTTGGAATTTAATAAAGGATTAAATGATGTCACGTGAACAAAAATATGTAATATCAATCCACTGCCTATTTGCAACTTGCAAGTAGCAGTTAAAATGTCCACATGACATTTCCAATGCAACCAACTTTGTGCTTGTGAATTATTTTCTATATCAATATGTTTCTTCCTCTTATATAATTCATCAAATTGATTTATGGAGTAAAATTAAAGCGTTCTCCTTTTTATGACTAAAAACGTCACTTAACCAAGAAAAAGAAAAAGTATAACAAGTCATACATGTTAGCAATTAATCCCCTAATGAGGATTCATGTAATTGTTTATTTCTTGCATGATCGTCTGGTTAGGTTTTCAATTGGGTTGTACATGTACTAACTTTTGTAGTGATATTGACTGTTTTAGGCTTAGGCTCGCATGGCTTTAAAACGTGTCATTAGAGTCTAAGGCATATTTACTTATATACGCAACATCTATCCCGTATTTTGTCGAGGTGAGATTCGCCTAAGGTGTCACATATCCCCCTCCCTTGGGACTCAACGTCCTCGCAGAGGTTTGCCCCACCATCGTTCAAGGTTGCAAGCGGAGTGGCTCTGATACAATATGTAACAGCCAGCCCACACGTGATATCGTCCGCTTTAGGCCTAAGCCCCGACAACTTTAAGACGCGTCACTAGAGTCTAAAGTCTGTCTACTTATATACCCAACATCTGTCCCGTATTTTGTCGTTGTGAGATTCGCCTAGGATGTCATAAATTAGATTCAAATTGCTACTTAAATTGATTTTCTTCCGAGACTAAAACTATCACTCTATAAGCTTTTCAAAATAATCCTCCATCCGTTCACTTTACTTGACCACTATCCACTATACTAAACTAAGAGAAAGACAATATTTTTTTTCCTGTTTTACTCTTATCATTAACTACTCATTTCGCAAATCATTTCCCAAAACTTTTGGAAATGCTATCATTATTATGGATAAAATTGTAAAACACATATTTTATTTATTGTTGATCTTGAAGGAAGTAAAAAGTCCAAAGTGAACAACTAAAAGTGAACGAACTGGTAGAAAAATAGCTAGTAAAACAAATCTTGGGTGTTGAATCAATATGGTTAAACGAAAGAAATAATGTCAAAAAGCAAATATTTGGCACTTACTTCCTTCTGTCCTATATAGAAGCAATTATTAATATACATAGAACTTCTTCTAGATGTTGAGGTCCACTCTCTTTGTAGCCTACCATAAAATCAGCCAGCTAATATTTTTTTTGGCAATTAAAGCACACCTTCATAACACTTGTAGATTCATTCAAGAAAAGGTCCTCAACCTCTCACCACTTAGTGGCCTCTCATATATTGATAGCTATTGCATAAAATGCCAAATCTCAAATTTTGAACTTATTATAGATCTTAATAAAACATGCCAGCTATGATCCAGTTCTCAAAATCAGCAATTAGCTGGCCAGAGAAATATCAAAATCTAGAAAGGGTTATTGAGGTGGGTTTTTTTTTTCTTTTTTTTTTTTTGGGGGGGGGGTAGGGGGAGGAGTTGAGTTTTCTACCATGTTCTCAACTCTTTGACAAATTAAGCAAACATGTGATTAATTATTTTTTCAAGATAGGCCTTCCTACTTTGTTTGTCTACTCTGATTGGCCTTCCTAATAGAGTCCTCTCAAATAACCACTCATATGATTTACAGCGCGCGCATATATATATATATATATATATAAGCTATGTTGAATCAACAATCATAAATGACTTTTCATAATAAGTCTATATATTTAGCGACCTGATATATTAAATTATATTGGTGATGTAAAAATTCTTTACAATCCTTTGGGAATGATTCCTAATCCTCTCAATGGTGAAAGATGGTTTCACTAATAGTGAATTGACACATTTTTTTAAGAGTTAAATATGTGTATATCCCTTGTAAAAGTATGATTATAGACACTAATGAAAAGGAATAACACTATTAATAATCCCTGCCAACATAGATAGAAAACTTGCTCTACACAATACTAATCTACAAAAGTTGAGTTAATTTATGCCCATGACTTAAAACAAGGAACAAGAAAAGAACGTCATCCTAGTCTGTCCCAACGCAATTTTTTCCATAAGATATAACTAACGTGCATTCCACAAATAAAAATATTAAAAATCGTCTCGGTCAACAAGAAAGCTAAACCTTTGACCAAAACCTCACATGCTGAAGAATTGTATATGACTTTCCTGAAAGATGAGAAAATTCCAAGTGGTAGATAACAGAAACTGCAAACTCAGAGAACTAATGTCAAACAAACCTTTGAATAACTCATTAACAATAGTACTTCTGCTCTTGACCAAATAAACACTCCATGACAAGGCCAGCTCACAAAAACAAAATTGCCGCTCCTAGCCCCAACAAAATGGATTAAAAAAAAAAGTTTACCACCCATATTATCCACTATAAAATGGATTGAATAATAAAATTTTTAAAAAACGGGTGGATAAGAACCATATTATCCATTTAGAATATGAATAATTAATGAGTTTAACTTTTACATTTGTAAAGTCTCAAATTGGGGGTTTCTCAAGTTTTGGAGACTAGGAATTCTCCCAAAAGTGATCATATTTAAGAAGTCATGGATAATATGGTTACCCATATTATCCGTCGGTTAACCCGTTTTTTATCCGTATTAAATATGAGTCGGGTCGGATAATTTATCTGTTTTTCATTACTCGTTTGCGACCCGAACCATATCTGACCCGACCCGCCCGTTTGCCGCTCCTAGCCCCAACAAAGGTAACTCCAAAAGTATCAATATTTTGGAATTGCAAAAGGGTTGTCAAAAATGAGACTAAATCTAAAATTGACCATTCCAAGGGCGAATGGCCGTGTAATGAGCAGAGAACAGCCTTGTACAAGAGCACATCACACACCATAAGGAAAAACTATTTGGAGTAAATGACCAAATTGATGTAGTCTACACTGTGTTAAAACAAAAATAATAAAACTGTTAGAAGAAATAGAAAATTTGTAAACGATAAAAAATATTCCAAGGCCACAATTTCCTTGTGTGTCCTTAAGGAATTTTAACCCCCTCATAAGTTGCCAAGGTAATGGATTAAATCCTCCCAGGATGAAACGGAATAAACCTTCCTGCAACAGTGGCAATACAAACTGCAGGATACCAACGAACTCAAAGAACGGAGCAAAATCACACTTACGAATTTGAGAGAGAGAAACTGCGAAGTAAAATGCAGTATTCAGAAGGAAATTCTCGATTTTCAGTGAGTGGAAAAAGAAGCCATGCCTCAGAATTTATAGGCAATTATCGGAAGAGGTGTGATGTCTGTTCAGGAATCAAGAGGGAAAGCAACGTTCAGCAAAGGCAGCGTTTTTTGGATTCCAGTTAATTCCGTTAATGAACTGACTGGCATTTAATTAATTATTAAATAATTAATTAAATAAATTTTGTCCAAAAAATAATTTTATCGATCATTTGACAAATCCAAATCCAAACCCGAAGTCGAGCGACGACGGCACGAGGGTTCATTCTTTTCAACTCCTTTTAAGAGCTCTAAGAAGTGATCCTATATTTATACACACAAGTGTAGTTGTCTTTCACCAATGTAGTACAAAGTTCATGACAAAAGCTCACTTGATTCAGATTTTCATTTCCTTCCATTTTATTTCCCAATTCATACTCTTATTCTTTAAAGCCCAATGCTTAAAGTCTTTAAAGGCCAATGCTTAAAGTCCAACAATTGATCTATGACATTCCTTTTATAGTGACAGCTCATTCAGTAAGCTTTACCATTTCTAGAGTATAACATCTTAATCCAGAAAAATTCATAGTTGATAGCAACTTCCAGTTTAATCAAGAGATGTATCAATATATACCAATGTTGCAAGTACCAAGAACAAGAAAAACTGAACAAACTTACTGAGAAATGTGATTATACAATCCCAAACAAGATGAACATCACCAAAATGGACCAAAGATCCACCTTTTCTTTTCCTAATTTCTTTACATAATATGAAGTGAAAATACATGATTTTTACCTTTAAACTACTTATTTTTCTGGTACATTGCACCATTAACCATTCTCCCTCCTCTTCTCATCTAAAAAAGGGTCAACCAAAGAAAAGAAAAAAAGGGGAAAATCTATATCATATTATGCTCATGTTCTAATAATATATGCTTCTGAAAAGACAACCATCAACCAATTCTGCTACACAATTTCATCTTGCAATAGAGTCAAGGCCTTCAGTCCTGCTCCGAACGATCCTATGAAACACTTCTCTAACCTGGCGCTCCAATGGATCCAATCCACTCTTTAAACCATCATAGACAAGCCCAAGTTCATGAACTCTTTCCTTTACTTCTCCATCTTTTTCCTCTGTGATTGGGAAGTTAACATTATCGATCAATTCGTTCATTTGGTGCGCGCATTTCTCAATCTCCTGAATCTCCTTCAATAATCCACAAGCATTTCTACGATCCCTCTTCTTCGATTCCTCCAAAATCCTCTCGTGGAGAGACAAAATTGGAACAGCCCAAACGAATTGCCTAGTCACATAAAAATGTGTTTGCAAGCCGCGGTCTTGGCAAGGAATTGCAGCCACAAGTGCCCACATTACAAAATACAACACATAACTCATTGTAAAAACAGCCAAAGATAATCCATTACTAGCAACAATTTCATTACTCCTCGGAGCAACTAAATTATTACCAATTGCTTGGAGCTGCTTAGCAGCAGACCAATTCCTCGATACACTCCACGATAAAGACCTAAAATGCCCCATAGACTTATGATCATTCTGAGTATTGTTTCGCCCGAATGATCTGTTTCTATGGTTAACAGTTTGATTAGAATCCTTTTCGTCTAGCATACCAATAGTCAAATCGACCAACGCCTTTTTGGCGCGACGAAATTGACCTTCACCAACACTCCTCTGATTCTCCAATGCACACAAAACAATCTCCATATGCTTCTGCCATTGCCTGATCTGCTCAATTCCGTCCCTTATCGCGTTACATACATCCAAACCCTTCACACTCCTATCGAAATAATCAGTAATGTAACGGTCCATTGGAGCTTTATTCAAGTAAGCAGTGTTATTAAACACAATGGACCTGAATTGTTCCTGGCAACAGAGGAATACATCCAAGAGTTTTCGAATCCACGGGATCGAAAGCAGTTGATCAGAATCAACAGAAGCTAATTCATTGAAACGCTCAGCGACTTGCTTTTGAAAAGATTCAAGTTCTAGCTCTTGGCTAGTTGCCTCATGAGCAGATTCCATTGAATGCACCTGATCACGGCGCATACTTAAAAGTGACCTTCCAAAATTTGTGAAAGATGTTGATGCCCCTTGATAATCTGTAACTGGCATTTTCTATAAAAATTTTTTTTTTTTTGTCACATGAACAGACAAATAAACAAAATCTTATAACTTTTTTGACAATTTGAAATTCAACCCACAAATTGTTGAGAGTAGAAATTGGAGAAATGAAATAACAAACACGAAATTCGGATCAAACCCCCAAAAATCCGCACCTTCAATAGGAATTGGAACTGAAAAGATATTATCAAAAAGAGATCAACCCTTCAAGACTGAATAACCCTAAGGCAAAAGATTCAAACTTTAAGAAATTAGAGCCAACCCACTAAAATAAGATGAAGAAATGGTGGAAAATGACAAGGAAATTTCAAGAAAATTCCCAAATCTTAAAATCCAAGAGAGCCATCAAATAAAAATAAGAATAGATGGCAAATCCCAGATTCAATTATTTTTATTTCTTTCAGTGGACAAAGGAAAGAGAAAACACAGAGAAAGGCAAGAGAAGAGGATGTTTGTGTAACCCTAACAGGAGGAATAAGCCTTTATATTGTGGTTCATTTGGACCGCGTATATCGGTTTGTTGGAAATTAAAAAAAGGAAAAATGAAAAGTGACGAAAGGGAAATTTTAGTGATTATAAAAACCAATATTCTCAAAAGGTAATAACTTTAAGGGAAAAAATAATCTAATCTAATTGGTGACTAAATATCGTAAATTAAGCTAATAAGGGTTTGGTTTCAACTTTTGCTAACATGTACGATCACACGCAGTGGACACGCATCATCTTCAATTGAGATGGTCCAATCAAGAACGTGTAACATAAATTTGAACGACGAATCTTTGATGTTAAATCTTGTCCGTTGGATTTACTTTTGGTTTAATCTGAGGGTAGAGATTAAAGGATGTGACGATAAACTAAGGACTATTTGGTAGAACGTTTTAGTCAGTTTTGCTGACAGAGTCACACTATGGAATATAGAAGGCTCGTGAAACATCTAATCAAAGATAAGAGAAATTAGTTATGCTTAACTTTCAAAATTAAAATATTTTAGAATGTTGATATAAGCAATGGTTAAAGAAAAATTGGTTAATATTTAGAGTATTAAATAAAAGTATGATTGCAATAGAAAAGTTAAAATATAAGGAAGAGAGTAGATTTATTAATAGTACTATATGGTAGAAGATCTCTCTCAAGAAAATTGGCTTGTTAGTAATTGTGACTTAACCTTATTATTTTTATAACTATTTGATATGTGAAATTTACTGACCTGATTAACTTCGTATTCTGCATAATCCATAAAAAGAATCGAGAGTTTTTCATTTATAAGGCTTAAATTTGAAATATCTGGATAAAAATATAGGATCTCATTTATCCAACCACATTCCTCGGTGGTATTCAATCTTAGTAATCTTATATTACACTAAAATTAAATCGGAAAAGGGCCTGATATATCCATCTATTTTGTTTTATTGTTCAATCCTGTCCCCCGTTGTACTTTCCGTCCAAATTTACCTCTGCCGTCCATCAAAGTTCTATATTTGCCCCTATTTTAACGGCCGGGACACGTGGTACATTCTGAATACGGAAAAGGGCCTGATATATCCCTATACTTTATTTTATTGTTCAATCCTACCCCTCGTTATACTTTCGTCCAAGTTTACACATGCCCTCCATCAAAGTTCTAAATTTGCCCATATTTTAACGGCCGGGACACGTGGCATATTTTAGGAGAAAGAACCAGTACAAAAACAAAAAAACTCCAAACCGCCCTAGAACCCATGACCCGCATGCTCGTTTTTCCTCTCTTAATTTTTTTCCAAATTTCTCTTAGATAAAATTTTAATCCGTGTAAGAGATTATCTTAGTCTGATAGAGAGATGAGGTTCAAAGACCAATTTCCGGCGCCGGCGTGACTTCGTGAATGGTCTTGAGTACTTGGGCATGTATGAATATACTATATTTAATTTTAGCCGTAGAAATTACTTCCCCAGCTTCATTGAACTGTTCGAAATTAGACCCAACCTCCTATCGTTATTTTGAGATCGCCGAGAAAGATTCCATCAAGCCGTATGAAGTTTAAATTTTCTGCCACACCTTTTCAATTTTTTCTTAAATCATGAGATTGAAAGAAAAATACATATGCAAAGAATTGTGGGCGACTTCGAGCAGTTTGTTTTTCAAAGGTGGAGTTTCATTCAGTGATAACAAGAGGAAGAAAAAAATGTAAGGGAGTGAGGAGTAGGAGTGGCAAACGGACGGGTCGTGTCGGATATGGTTCAGGTCGAAAACGAGTAATGAAAAAACGGATCAATTATCCGACCCGACCCATATCTAATACGGATAAAAACAGGGTTAACGGCGGATAATATGGTTACCCATATTAAATCCATGACTTCTTGTATATGATCACTTTTGGAAGAATTCTTAGTCTCCTAACTTGAGGAACCAGCCAAATTTGAGGCTTTACAAATGTAAAAGTTAGACCAATTGGTTATCCATTGGTTACTCATTGGTTATCCATTTTCTAAATGGATAATATGATTCTTATCCATATTTGACCCGTTTTTAAAAAGTTCATTATCCAACTCATTTTTTAGTGGATAATATGAGTGGTTAACTGTTTTCTTTGAACCATTTTGCCACCCCTAGTGAGGAGTAAGAAAATAGAAGTAAGAAAAAATGGTGGCAACAAGCAAAGAGATGACAGAACCTTGTGTCTTTGAATCTCATCTCTTTGTCAGACTAAGATAATCTCTTACACGGATTAAAAGTTTTTATTTAAGAGAAAAGAGAGGAAAAACGAGCATGTGGGTCATGGGTTCTAGGGCGGTTTGGAGTTTTTTTGTTTTTGTACTGGTTCTTTCTCCTACAATATGCCACGTGTCCCCGCCGTTAAAATAGGGGCAAATATAGAACTTTGATGGAGGGCATGGATAAACTTGGACGGAAAGTATAACGAGGGATAGGATTGAACAATAAAATAAAGTATAGGGATATATCAGGCCCTTTTCCGTATTCAGAATGTGCCACGCGTCCCGGCCGTTAAAATAGGGGCAAATATAGAACTTTGATGGACGGCAGGGGTAAATTTGAACGGAAAATATAACGGGGGATAAGATTGAATAATAAAACAAAGTAGAGGGATATATCAGGCCCTTTTCCGAAATTAAATATATTCTGACAATGAAATGTAAGGTATCTAAATAGAATTAAAAAAACAAGTATGTAATTATCTTACGTCTCAAATGAGACGAGTCTTACGTAGACAGTAAAAACAACATTATTGTCAATGAATGAGAGTATTAAGTTTATTCGTTAACAAATTTGAATCCAATACCCTAAAGAATATTCATCTCAGTCAGAATAGCAGATTATTCCCTTCATATTAAATTAGTTACTCCATTAGTGTCTCCTCGGATTTGACTGTTTAGCAAATAAATATTTGTCATATGATTCTAATAGCAAGTAATCCGGTGAAAGTTCTTTTCCTAATGACTTGCATTTTTCTTTTACATAAAGCATAATAAAATAATTATATTTAAATTCAAAACAAAAATTATAGAATTCATCTGAAATGATCAAAAGGATAAGTGCGCCGAGAAATGTTAAAAATGGTTTTGATGTCATCATGTGACATTTTATTTTCATTTAATTGTACTAAATTATATTAATGCATGTATTATGTCATTGTTACTGGAGTTACTAATGAATTCTCTTTTCTTGTTTTTTATTTCCGTCTTTCTGAGCGGAGGGTCTATCGGAAACAACCTCTCTGCCCTATCGGGGCAGGGGTAAGGTCTGCGTACACATTACCCTCCCCAGACCCCACTATGTGGAATTTTACTGGGTAGTTGTTGTTGTTATTATGTCATTGTTGTTATAAATAGAATTGTATTTAAGGTGAATGTCTATATTCTAGAGATATTCTAGGGTTTGTTATTTGGTGGCTAAGTCACTTTTCCCATATAAATAGAGGGGTTCTATTATATTGTAATTGACTCCAAATCAATAAGAATTCTCTCTCCTTACTTCTCTGCAATACTCTTCTTCTTTTATTATTTCATAACACGTTATCAACACGAGACTCTAACCAATCGAGTAGAAGCTTTGGGATTGAGCATAATGATTGTCAATTGTTCCTATTCCTTCATGATTAAATTCTGGATTTTAAGGTAAGTATTTTACCGTATTTTTCTCATTTATTCTATAATTTGATTTTAAATACAAGAAAAGACAATAAATTTTTATTATAACTCTAGTGGAGTTAGTAAGAAATTATAACCACTCGAAGTGGTAAAATTTCTATATCTTGCCATGATCAAATTCATGTATGATTGTGAGCACAAGAAGTGGAAACTCGTCCCATTGAATTTGCTTCATTCTCATTCCCTTAAGAGAATGTGATAGCAGTATGTAATATGTCTGAAAGAAGACAAAATTATTACTGTTAATGTATAAATGGATGTGGACGTGGCAATAGACGAAATTATAAATCGGCATCATTTTGATAGTGAGAACAATAAGGATTCTCAAAATAATCATTCACTTTGTGAAAGTAATATATGTCATCGATTTGACATGAGATTTTATAAAGCACATATATATGATTATGGTCCGTTCATGATGTGAATGTGACAACATGTGATTTATGAATACATATTCATTCTTAGAAGAATATGAACGTGCTAGTGGTAGTGAATATACCACACTCACCTCTAGAATGAGGTTTGAGAGGAAATAAGAAAATAATGTCATTATTATGGCATGAATGATCATCGGTCACATACCTATTGTACGCCAAAATATTTTGGCAATGTGATTATTAAAAAACAACGGTAATGTAAGAAACAGATCTTGCATATAATTTTGACCATAACCATAATGGTATAACTTTCTCTTTAAAAGAGATATTCACCATATGGATGTTGATGAATATGTGGTAGTACAAAATTAATTGAGAGCTCTGGAAAAGCCAATTATTACTATTTTGGAGAAATAAAATTAATTATCAATAAGGCATTATGTTGTAGTAAGTCTCAAAGAAACTTATTTAGTTTCTAAAGTATTCGCGAAAGCAGTTGGTTATATTGAGACTATACATAAAGCAAATATTTAATATCTTCTATTACTACAACTTGTAGCGGGGTAATATGTATGTGGAAAGCTACCCGCTTTATTCACCAGTTTGTACTACACAAACAAAAGAATACCACAATAAAATGGATGTTTATTGATATAAAAACCCATATCACAATAAACTTGAAGTTTATTGATAATTGCACTCGTCATGGTGTAAACCTGAACTTTATCAATATTGATAATTTATTCAGTTGGCATAATTGGTTTAGCCATGTTAATTTAAGTATAATGTGCAAAAATAAAAGAGAATTAACATGGGTAAATATTAAAGAACTAGAAAATTCTGTACGAATTCTCTTACGTTGTTCTCGTTAATTAATAGACCAATTAAAATTTGGATTGATCTCATGAATGCTGGAAATATCAAAGGTGAATCTGGCCATTCACCTGCCATG